TTCTATTTTTTTTTTTAATGCACTCTTCTGCTGCCATCCCTAGATTAAAAAAAAAAAAAAAAAAAAAAGAAGAAGAAATGCAAACAGGGGCTGCATGGCACGATTGCAAGTGGAGAGTTTTTCCAGGGTTTTTCCTGTATTTTTTCCGAAATACAGGCAAGGTGTGAGCACAGCCCGTGGGGTTACACACCCCTCTGCCTGCCCCCCCCGCCCCGTGCCAGCGTCAGGATCAAAGGGTCTGAGCAGAGCCACATGTGGGCTCTCCCCCTTCCCAGCCGTGTTCCTCCCGAATAACAAGCCAGAAACATGGCGAGTTTTTCTTGGGCACTTTGATAATTTTTTTTCTCTCTCCCCTTCCTCCCTCAAAAACATAAAAGGCAGGAAAAAGAAAATAGTTACAACCGTGCTGCTTCTGTAAGCGGGCCAGTGAGATCTGTGAAGTTTTATTCCAGATTTCAAAGCTCCTTAATTTGATTCTTCTCTTTTCTTTTCAACCTCCAGGTTTGGCTGTGGTTTTTATTTGGTATTGTAAGTGTTATCTGGGAGAAATTACACCTTTTTTTTTTTTTTTTTTTTAATCCCTTTAAACATGCCGTGTAAGTTTCCAGAGCCCTATAAACACAAGCAGCTCCCCCCTGGAGACCGACGGACGGCTCAGCTCAGCAGCTTTCGCACACCCAGGCTGGGCTGCCTTGAGCCAGGACCAGCTCCCCTTCAGACCCCTCATCCTTTTCCAGTCTCACCAACACAACCCTGCTCTGGGGCTGAGCTGACCCCACTGAATTTACCATTCCCACCCCACGCAGCTCCTCCCGTCCTGCTTGGCGTGCGGGCAAGCCGCAAGCGCGCGGTGCGCTCCCGGGGCTCTCCTCTTCCTTCTCCTCCACAGAGCTGTTTTTTCTTCTACCTATCCCTGTTTTTCCTTGCTTTTCCTCCTCTTCTCCTTGGCTGGAACCTCACCTTGTTCTCGGGAAGGGGCTGGCTTCACCCCGGAGCTGTAGTGCATGCACCGAGCCCCCCCGCCACCACCTGAGCGTTGCACCGGTGACAATTCTGTGACATTGGCTTTATTCCCCAAAGTGGGACACCTGGATGGGGACTCCTGCCACCACCCAGGGTTGGTTGCAAACATCTAGAGCTTCAAAATCCCCTTCCTTTAAGGCAACGCTGCGGTTGCACTTGCTGGGGAGCCGGAGCGGAGCTGGAGCATCCTTGGGGCCGTGCTGTGATTTTAGCCCTGAGCGGGACCGTGGGGAGGGGGACGGGAGCCTCCAGTGCTGTTGGAGGGGGGAAGGTATGTTTGGAGAGTGGCTTGCTCAGGGCTTGGGGAGCTGGAGCCCCTCTGCAGTGGTGGGTGAGGTGCCTGGTACCCCCCTGGTACCCCCCCAGCCTGGGGGGGTTTAGGCTTGGCCATCCAAGGCCAGGCTGGATGAGGCTTTGGGCAACCTGGGCTACTGGGAGGTGTCCCTGCCCATGGCAGGGGGATGGGACTCAACAGTCTTTAGGTTCCCTTCCAACCCAAACCATCCTGTGATTCTGTGATCCCCAAGAGCTGCGGCCCCCCATGAGCTGCGACCCCCCTGTTTCCTCGCTTGTCCCCCTTGCCAAAGCGATACTGCTGAAGGTGACACATGAGCTCGGTGCTGGAGACCCCGATGCGATTTCCTAGCTCCTAACCAGCGCCTGCAGGAGAAAGCCAAGGCTGAAGATGACTTTTTTCCTGGGGTGTCTCTTGCTTTGCCCCAGGGCCGGAGCTCTGCGGGTGGCTGCAGGTGTGGGAGCTCCTCCAGCACAGGCAGCC